AACAAGGTAGACAGGCTAGGTTTAGGGCACCTTTTCTAGCCCCCTCCCCATGTGGAGTGAGCAGAGCAGATCCTGAAGAGGGCTGCTCACTCACAGTTACAGCTGCTGAATTGCACTCATCTCATCCAAGTGGTAGATGACCTTGTAACTGCTGCCTTTGTGCCAGTTCATAACAAGGAGCTTCCAGACCTCACAATCCTGCTCCCATTGCCATTAGCTGGTTGCCAAAGGGTTTGAGGAATGTGCTGGAAAAGCTGTTTTCACAGAAGACCCCTGTGCATGACTTCTTTTATCATGGAAAATCTGCTACAGATCAGCTTCCACACAGCTCTTAACAGAACAGGCCTTTGATCAAATGGCAAGGAGACCAAGACAACTGAGGATCTCATTCCACTGAAGCATTTATCTGCCTTCACAGCCATTGAGAACTTCTAGACCCATGGCTGGGGATTAGGCAGGCTTATTATAGTGGCAACCTGTACTTGCCATGTCACAGCACCATCAAAAGATATATGTGGCTTTTCAGGAAGAAAACCATTGCCATCTGCTGTCCTCACCACATCCTGGTGGTACCACCACTGCTTGGTCCATGACTGCTTATTTGTCAGACTTACTCCTGCTTATTTCACAATTACCCTTCCCTGAAGGTCATATCCATAACCTGTGGACACACTGGGCATCAGTACAGCTCCTCCACTTATACCCAGTGGTGATACAGTAGCTTTTGACTGAAAAGCCATTGAGCTGGGTGAGTGAGCTGCTGCATGCAGCCTGTAGTATCTTGATTAGGTTTGTGATGTGGAAACAACACTGTGTTATTTACAGAAATGTATATAAAGAACTGTTTCCTGTGAAGAAATATCAGACACACTAGTGGCCCTGGAAGGTTCTGGGACTAGTCTTGTTGCTGTCCTGCCACACCAGGAAGTTCCTGCTGTCTCACTCAGACTGTCTCCTGAGATGCCACGCTTCCTGGACACTTATGCTATACTGTCAGCTATTACTCAAAAAATCTTTCTTTCTACATTCTGGTTTCTTAAACTAAGGTGTGGGTTTTACTTTGGAACATCTGTTATGCAAGCAAATGTAGTAATTTAAACTGTGTATCCAGTTATACCCTTTATGACTGATGCTGTCAGTGAGGGTGGTGCGGTCTGTAATGTAGATGATTAGCTACTGATACCTGAACCAAGTGATTGATGCCAAGCCAACTTACGTTGTTCAAAAGATTCCCAGTGACTTCAGGGGGCTTTGGATCAGACCATAAAACCACTGAACTTGTTTCACAGAATAATCCTTGATTTTGAGGGATGCCTCTTTCTTTCTTGTTCAGAAATGTTTTAACCACGTAACCAATTATCAGTATGCTTTAGGACAGGGGTTGACCACATACAGCCTGCAGCTCAGATTTGTCCTGCAAAGCCATCAGATCTGGTCTGGAGTCATGGGGCATCAGCAGCATTTGACAGTGGTGGGGCTGCACTCACTGGCCTGGGTGACAGGAAGGGTGGCAGCAGCAGCACTTGGGCCCCAGGGTTGGCTATTCTCAATTCAAGCTGGGTCACTCTGGCCTTCTGCCAGAAAACTGTTCCCAACAGCTGTTTTGGAATGCTGCTAAGACAATGAAATCCCTTCCAGTGGTACTGCACCACTGATTAGGATGTGCTTACACTTCCAAGCATTTTGGTTCTCATTTCATGTATTTAATTTCTGTAATCTATTCTTTGAAGTGCAGACACACATGCTCTTAGAACTGTCAGAATGGATGTATTTAGAGGCAAGTTGTATGACCAGCCACTTAAGGGCTTGGGAAGAGGGGATAGTAATCAAGGGCATGTCACTACTCCCTTAAGGCAACCCTGTACGTGATGTTGTGATGATGGTGCTCCCTCCATGCTGATGCTAATGCATGGAATAGAAGACCTGCTGCTATTGATATTGTGTTCAGTGGGAGATGGATAAGAAACAGCAGTACACAGAGCAAGCACTGGCCCTGTTGATATTAAATCATGCATACATCCCCCCATTCTCTATTAAGGATCTGGCACCAGAATGTCTCTGGCATAAGAAGGGAAGAGGGGTCTGAAGCAGTAATTCTTCTGCATGCCTCCAGCAGGGAGGAAGTGCTCAATTACAGCTCCATTTCCTCTCAAATTAACTGGGATGGGGCAATGGTATTTCCCTCCACTGCTGTATGCTGGCACATTCTTGGCTTTGAAGTACAAGGAAGCTGGTCATGCGGGTTCTACCTGCCTCTTCTCTCTCTGCAGGGTGGCCCATGCACCAAACTTCCCCTTCTCTGGCTTGTAAGTGTAAGATGCCAGCTGGGGGTTCCACATGCATCTCTGTGTCAGGCAATAATGAGGAGGAAGGCAGAAATGTTGGACATGAAGTGGGAACTAGCAGTTAGGGGTGATGATAAAAGCCTTGCCAGTGGGCAATGGCAGCTCAGGCAATGGGATGGACCAGCAAACAGGGAAAGCCTGAATCAGCTTGGTCAAATTTCCATCAAACTTCATGGACTTCATCCCAATTGTATTCTATAGGCACTTCCCACAAGGCTTATAAAAGAGTATTTTAGTACTACCATATTTTTATTTAGGTTAATTTAAAAGGAGCTTATGAATACTAAAGTTGTTCTACATCAGGGATATCCTCTTGTAGGAAGCCTGGGACTGCACATTAGCATGAGCCATGCTCCCCTTTCTTCCCCCACCCCCACCCTGCTTGCTGGGGCAGATGTGTGAACAGCCCCTCCCTCCCCTGTTGTTCCCCCACCCTCCTGCTGCTGTTGCAGCTGGAGTAGTGGCCAGGTAGGAGCCTGGGGGCCACAGATTATGGCCTCTTGGGCTGCACATGCCTCACAGGCTACCAGGGAGACAACCTTGTCCCACATCATTCAAAATGGGTGTCAGTAAATGTTTACGGAAAAGACAAACTTTTAAAAGTTGACTTATAAATAGCAATACAAATCATAGGATCCTGGGAAAGTAGGGCTGGAAGGGGTCTCACAATGTCATCTATTTCAGCCACCTGCTCAAAGCAGGATCATTCCTGACTAAACCATCCTAGCCAAGTGTCTGTCTAATCTGCTCTTGAAAACTTTCAAGACTGGAGATCCCACCATTTCTCTAGGTAGCCTGTTCCAATGCTGGACCAACTTTACAGTCAGAAAGTTCCTCCTTCCCCTGCTGAAGGTTGAGGCCACTGCTCCTAATCCTGTCCCTTACAGCCACAGAGAAAAGCCTGTTTCCATCCTTCAGGGAGGCAGGTAGTGGAGAGGCAGTAGTGGGGTAGGCATTGGGGAGGGAGGTGGTGACAGAGGAGGTTGGGGGGTAGGTAGGAGGGTCAAGCAGCTTGACCCCTGCTTCTTGCTCCCCTCCAGCACCTCCCCCTGTCAGTCCCCGCAGCCACCTCTGCCTCCTCATCTACTCCTGCCTGCCTCACCTCCCCCCCACCCCACCGGCCCCCAGCACCACTTTTGCTCTGGCTCTGGCAGGCTCTTCTCCTGTTCCAGCCTAGGACATGGAGCATGTGTTTGCTCTGTTTCCAGCTCAGCCCAGCTACTGGGATGGGAGTTGTGGGGGCTGGCTGGGGTGGGGCAGAGGAGAGGACAGAGGCAGCGACAGGGATGCAGAAAGGGAGGCAGAGGCAGTAAGGGGATAAATGGAGGCAGCAGAGGGGCAGGGAGCAACTGCAGCTCCAGCCCCAATCCTAGGTGGGGTCAGAGCCAGAGCTGCAGCCAAAGCAGCTACCTACCCCCTTGCTGTATCATATTTGAATCCAGGATGAGAAGACTTTTTTCCCACACTAGGATTCAAGATACTTAACACTTGTTTAGGGGGCTGATTTTATTGATGTAGTTATTGGCTTAAGGCTGAATTAGTTCTAAATTCCAAATCAACTGTGCTGAGCTCAGTCATTCAAGTCCGTCTGGCTCTACCACTGGGCAAGTCTCCCCCTTCCCAGACACATCAGTCTGGGATTTCAGAAACTCCCCAAATCCATGGCAGGCATCCTACATGCAGGCGCTAACCCCCAAAGCATTGGAGTTTGATGCCCCCTAGTCATGCTTGCTCCTAGTCAAAAGGCTGAAGGAATAAGCCAGGGGGAAAGCACAACACAGTCCCCTATTACCACAAAATTGTGCTGTTGAGTTTCCTCCATTTGGGAAACTTGCAGGGGTCAGTCTGCCCAGAGCACATTGGACAGGCCTCATCTTGGAAAAACCTGTTGATCATGGGGGGGTTTCTTTTGCAAAATACACACACACATGTAAATATATATATATATATACACACACACATACACACACAGAGAGAGAGAGAGAGATCTCTACCAGCCTGTCTTGTGACTGCTGTTGTTGCTGATCATAGTGGGATTGGAGCATGGCAAGTACACCTGTGTTAGAGCCAGCTCAGATAACAAGAACAGTAGAGATAAGGTAGGGTATCACAACCATCAGCACTGGCTACTAACCAGGGAACTTACCCCAGGGTCCTAGTGGACTTCTACTCTAGTTGCCCAGCTGCTGTGCAGAAGCTTGTGCCATCACCTAGTCCCTGCTGTTGTCACCTGTGCAGGCTCAATTTATGCTAGCCTGGGTATGATGGCTTCCCTGTGCTACCATCATACTGTCCTTTTGCTGTGTTGCCCTATCATTTTATCCAAATCAGTGGTCCTTTTCCACCCCGCTGGACACAGACCCCGGGGCTGGGGCAGCTCTTCGACTTGCAGAGAGAAAAAGTTTCAAGGGGGGGGGCGGAACTGCTGGGTGGGCTTGCCCCCTCCCTCCCTCCCCATGTCAGTCAGCAGTAGAGGGCGAGGTGAGGCAGAGCCCAGCAGGTTTCAAGCCCAGCTGGGGTCGGGGAAGGCTTGGCGTGTGCCCTGGGCGGGGAGGGAGGGCAGCTCGGGCCCTGATAGGGTGCAGCCCCGCAGAAGGGGCAGGGGCTTGGCGGCGGAGCCCCTCGCTAACCCGGCCCCTCGCACCTGCGGGCGGCGGGAGCAGGAGCGCGGCGGGTCCCGGCGGCTCTACCCAGCACCATGGACAGCGGCCGGCTGCCGCAGCTGGACGCCGCCGCCTTCCTGCACATCTGGCAGCGCTTCGACGAGGACGGTGAGAGCTGGGTCGGTCCCCGCCTCGCCCGGGGCTGGGGGGCTGTGCATGGACAGGGGTGCCTGCTCTCCGGGGTCAGCGTGTGTGTGTCCCTACCTGCGAGGCGAGGGTGTGGGACCCCTCCCCGGGAAGTTTTCAAATGCCGCTCAGATAGTTGACTGGGATGGTTTCGTCAAGGATGATCCTGCCGTGAGCAGGGGTTGGATTACCAGACCTCTTGAGACCCCCCCCACCCAGCCCTGGTTTATGAGTGTATGGAGATGTGTGTGCAGTGCCCTTTCTTACACCCATGCTGTGCATGACAGGCAAAGTTGGGGACAGTAGGACTGTAGGGCAGGGAAGGAGCTCATCAGGTCACCGTGGCATTGTGCGTGCTCTTGGTGTTAGCCTTTTTCTGTCTACCCCAGCAGGTGTGACTTGCATCAGGGTCTTCATGCATCTCTTTGTCTTGTGATGTCCTTTGGAAGTTGCTGTGTAACTTTCTGGATGTCCCACAAGCAGTCTGATGCCCTGGCCACTGCAAGATGGCAAACAGACTAAATATTTCACAGCAAAGATGATTTTTCTCTAACCAAGCTTTCCCTGAGCAGCTGCTATTGAGATGCTCAGCGCCAAGCAGCTGAATCAGACCTCCCTGGAAATCCCATGTTTTACAGGGTGGATTTGATCTATAGAAGTAAAACTCTTTTTAGCAGACTTTGCTTTACAGAGAAGGCAGTCCGAGCACAAATGTTTATGGAGAACGTGTCCCCTAATATCTCCTGCTGCCCCTCCTTTACATTTTTGGTTCAGGTCTGGTGTTAAGGATACAGAAAGTCCAAGGTAAGTATTACATGAAAGGATGTGAATTCACAACAGGACTTTCCAACTTTAGACAAGGTGTATCTTGCCTTTTCATGTACTTCTGTGGATACATCTTTTTATGAACAGAGAGAACACTGCACCTGTTTGACACAGTTTCCCTAAACACAGAGATGATTCTCTCACCAAAGTTGTCATTTTCTGAATTTGTAATAATGTAATTATTACATCGGTAATAATGTCTGATGAGCAATATGTTTTAATTGTGTTTAGATAATGGTTACATAGAGGGGAAGGAGCTTGATAATTTTTTTCATCATCTGCTGAAGAAACTGGGTCCAGATGTAAGTACTGTCCCATATTATATGTCTATCAAGATAAGCGCTATTAAAGGTCATGATGTTTAAAGAGGTTTTGAACTCATAGCTGTGACTATTAGTTTCCTTAGTGACACAAGGTAGAGAGCTTATTTTTTCCTAGCAACAAAGTGGGGCTTAAACAGGTTTTATAACAGGTGCAATAACCTTAAAGGTACAATGCTTTTTTTCCCCTTCAGTCTAACATCTGTCACCTAGTACAAGGATATAATTGTGGCACACTAAACAGTCTGTCTTAGGAGGCATGAAAGAAATACTGTTTAGTTCCCTTGGATAAAATTTAACTAAAAAGTCTGGTACCCTTTAGTTGTAAAGGATGAATTGTAGCAGGTGTTTCTGCTTTATTCAAAAGAGTGCTGATGAGTTTTGTTAATGTGTCAGTTACTATGCAGCATTCTCCTGTCGTTAATGTTAACTAGTGCTTATGTAGAGTATACCTGCATTCTCAGAAATGGTTACAAAGCAAATATTTGGGCCACTGTGTTGCTCATAAGGTCAATACTTGCAGATGTCAGGGAGGTTTTTCTGTGTTTTATAGCTCTTTTCCATACTGTTTATCAGTACTTCTCATCTGTTACTGTCCACAACTCAAAACGTACAAAAAAGTTAGACAAATATCCTCATAATTTGTTTTTCTTATCAGCAGTTCACACTTTGCATTTGAATGTCTCTATAAGCTAAAAAAATCCTGTTATTGAATAAGCCTGTATTTGCATAAAAGGTACATGTTTAAAATAATCTTTAAATTTTCATTGCATGGCATGTGATCAAATACAAGCAAAAATAATGAGTATCTCTCAACTAAAAGGAATAGATGTCAGAACAAATAAAGGTGAAGCAACTCAGTTAAATAGAAAGTTGATAATGAAACAGAAAAAAAAACTGCCTACATAGATGTCGGCAGATGGCTGATTAGAATGAGCAGAATTAAGGGTGACATTCACAATAAAAAGGATTATTTTAGATACTTACAATTCTGAGTATTTGAAAAAAAATCTGAGCTTAAACCCAGTTTTCAAAGCAACTTCTGTTTAATTTCCTGAAGTTTAAAAACAAATGAGAAGGATTCAGAGACGGCAAACAGGAACGATTACAGACATGGAAAATCTGAAATGAAGACAGGTCTAAATGACTGATTGTTAACTTTAGAAAGGAGATGAGAGTAGAAACTTCTGGTCTTGCTGTCTCATGGCACCAAAACAAAAAACATTTGATGATATTGAAAGGTGACAAATTCAAAACCAATGAAAAGAAATATCATGCAATAGACAACTAGATTGTGGAACCCACTGCCACAGGATGTCATTTTGGCCAAAGACTTACCAAGATTGATAGAAGGAACTTTTGTTTTCAAAGCTAGCAAGCATATTCAGTTTTCTAATACAAATTGTTAATAAAAGAGAGAGATGAAACTTCCTGTGCTAATAATTGAGTCAATCTCTAATCGTTAGCGTACACCTTCCTTATCTTATATTTGCCAATGGAGGAACTTCTCACATGCTCTTCTAAAGCTTTTGATTTTGGCTGTTATTGGAGACAAGATACATTGAAGTGAATATAAATGTGTTTCATAAATTGATGTACAGTATTCAACAAAGCAATACACAGAAAGTAGGATGCACTGTCACTGTTGCCTGTTCTTCTGGGTTCATACTGAGGTACAATTTTCCCTTTGTTAAACAGGGAATGTGACAGTTCCCACTACTGCTAAAAGTTAGTGTTCGACTAATACGTTCTAAACCAGACTGCTTTTCCATTCTGTGCCTTTCCCAGTTTCTGTAGTTAGTCTTGTCATTGAAGAAAAACATAAATAGCATAGAACCCCTTTCAGTTAAGTTTAAGGGATAGCATCTTAAATCTACTCAAGTACAATCAAAAGGGTTGTTGAGAAAGCATAATGCTACTGAACAGTAAGGCTAGGTACAGACATTCAAAAAGCCTGAGGTGGAATTGATCTAAGTGATATGGTTTTCGGTAAGCAGCATAATTTAGCTCTGTAGCAAACAACACACATTTGCCCTTTGGCAGGATTGGTGGGGGGAGCAAATCTTAGACCAGGTTCCACCATTTTAAACTAGTCTGTGTGCCAAACTTCTATTCTCTTATGATTATGGACTGGTTTCGGATCACTTACTCTGGTAAAAATGTAATGTCTGTACCTGACCTAAAAGTCCCAGATGATGGACCTAAAACAATAAGATCATGGGTTGCCTTTTGTTCCTTTCTCTATGGTCTATTTTGAGTTCTTGTTATTTTTAATTAAGGGCAAAATTATATCAGATCCAAAGGGGAATGCTGTACTCACCCTCAATATTTTGCTATCCCTGCCTTCCATTGAGGCTACTAAGAAATACCAAAATTAGGTGCTGCCCTGCAAGTCTGAAACCATGGTAGTGCCTCCATAAAATGGACACCTCACCTGTTTGCTCCCATCCTGTGCATGACATGTGCCTTTTGGTGGGCACCCAGGACATTGCCAGTGCCCTTGTAATAGTGACAGCAGAACATTTTTCAGCATGAGGTGCTGGCGTGGGCAAGGCAGGTTTTCACCGCTCCTTGTGCTGTCCAGTGCAATGCAGACACATCCAGAGGGTAGAATTTTTTCCTTTCACTCTGTGCAACTCAAAACAAAGCTTTTTTTTTCTCATTTGTTTTCTAAGCTTCATGAATGTTTATGGCACTTTCTATGAATAATCACTTTTGTTACCTTTGTATAATTAGCATGTATAACTACATAATTATGGTAAGTGATCTTTGGGAGGGGGGGAGGTTCCTTCTTTTCAAAATTGTTTTTCAGTACCTTAAAGAAAGGCTTAGTGATCATGAGCATCAAGCTGGGAATTGGGATCTCTGTATTTTAAACCTAGTCTTGACACACTTTCCTTCTGTGAGCTTTTAACCTCTCTGCCTCTGTTTCCATGCTCTGTAACATACACACAATAATACTGACATAACTTACAGGCACATTACAAGGGTTAATTAGATACTATTTCTAAAGTGCTATACAAGTGATAAATAATGTTATCTGCTCTGAAAGTTGTCTCTGTTTGAATAGTGAACAGTTTCATAATTATATTTTTCCAACCTCCGCTCTCTAAGCTGTTATTTTCCCTTAATGACCACTGTAGTTTGCAGCTCTGTTATTTTTTCCCAGCTACTCTGCTGTGTCTTCATCTGACATTAAATGCAAGAGCACCAGAACAGCTGGGAAAACAATGGAAGACAGAGTCCCTCAGGCACTTGAGAATTAGATTTGGTGATTAAAGGGCCTAGGCAAGAAAGAGGATTCAGTATGCCAAGGGTAGAAATGATAAGCCTTGCATCTACATGTCGTTGGGGTATTTGAAACACACGTAAATCTAAAAATGTCTCCTAACTTTGTAATGAGCCAAACTAACTCCCAGATTCTACATACTCTCTCCCCCGTCCCTCACCCTGCCCTTATCCCCAGAATGGGAAAAGCTGTCAGCTCACCCAGTTCTACCATAACACCCTTGATTTGCCACTAGATTTGTGTCTAATACAAACACAAAGGGCTTTGGTAAATCAAGAGATTTTTGGTGGTCTGGTGATATTGATGGGTTAAATGGTCTCTACAAACTAGAAATAACTTCTGTGAAGTCTTTCAGTATGTGAGGAAGATAAGGACACTTTAGACTCATCCCATTACAGGCTGGGGAACTGCTGCAGCTGTGCCCCTCCTGTCCATGTGACATTAGCTGTTTGTCTCTTATGTGTCTACTCTCCCTGCCTACCTCCTGAGCCTTTTTGTTGCCCCATCCCACCGTTCATTTGCCTATTGGACTGTAATCCATAAATCTGTTCCTGTGCACACTTGTCTATACATATGTTATTTCTGGGATCTATTGTAACTTGTGCCACATGATGTGTAAAGACTAAGAGATCCAATGATGAACAATGAATGTTATTGAAATAAGGAAAACACTGTCATCTAGTTTTTCCATGTCCCTCTCTCTCTTTCCTTCATTGTAAAGCTTCTGCTTAGAACGTTTCTACTATAGTTTTAAGAAACTGTGTGAATATTCTTGCAATCATTACACCAATAAAGTTCTGGGATCTAAGAACACCTGTATACTACCTAGTAATTTTCCACTGAATGTCCAGATGAAGTCAGATATCTTCAGGTAATACAAGGGGAGATGTACAATATGAATAGAATAATACTATACGGTAAGTTGACTCATTCTGGTCAAATGTATGCATTACACAGACATCAGCCAAAGGTATGGGAATAATAAGGAGTTGGATGCAAATTATTGCTGCTTTTCCCAGCATGTGGATGGACTAGAACAGGGGTGGGCAAAATGTGGCCTGTATGCAGCCCTGCCAGGCCATTCTATCTAGCCCGCAGGGCCCCTAAAAAATTCAGAAAATTAATACTTAGCTGCCCCTGGCTGCCTGTCATGCAGCCCTCAATGGCTTGCCAAAACTCAGTAAGCGGTCCTCTGCCCAAAATAATTGCCCGCCCCTGGACTAGAAGAAAGGGATGGTGCAAGTAAGTCCTTTCTCTGAACACACATCACTAAGCTGTGGTGTGGATGGCAGCAGTACTACAGCACACTGTCTGTATCACCTAGAAGTGTAAATCTGCTTAAGTGAGGGAGAGCATTGCTATGTTGTTTTCCCACAGACCTAGCCTCTGACTAAGAGGAGTCCTTCTGAGCCCACAGAGCACATTCCCTGAAAAGCCACAGAATCATCCCACCTGCCCTTGGCACCCACGGACAACATAGGTTTCAGCTACCTACCCATACTAGAGTGCTTCCTCCCACGCCCCTACTTTATTAAATGCTTAAATATGCCCCTCTAGAGATGTGGCTGCATAGTCAGGAATTCAATAAATTCATTCAATTAAAGACAATGTCCAAAATATGAACCAACCTCAAAGCCACCCAAATGAGAACTCTCCCTGCCAGCCAGCACAGCTCTGTATTCCAGCTTCCTAA